ACTTAATGCAAAAAAAATGATTTCTTTTTTCTAGTCGACGCTATTTTTGAAAATACAGTGTAAATAGATGATAATATTCCATTTTAAAGTAGAGTTTTAGATGCAATATTTCTCAAACTCGACGAACTATCTTAAAAAGGTCTAAAAATCAAAATGACAAAATCTCATGTACTTTCAGGCGCCATTTTGAAAACGCAGTGCATCACGGGGTACATAGACGGTGCGTAATCAAGTTGCTTAGCAACAGTGGAGGTGTTAACAGTCAATACTATTCCCAATTTGTATAATAAAGAAATTATCATAAAATTAATGAGRCATTTCCATAATAGCTGTAATCCCTTTTTTCATGAACAATCCTGCAACTTTGCATTCGCGTTGAATACCACTCTCTGCTTCTTTGTAAAAACAATTTTATTTCTTTTCAAAACAGAACTATCTCAAGTGGTTATCCCCAGCAAAATTAAGAGAGTTTRGCTGTATGATTAAGCACACTCAACGGGATAGTTCTAGGTTTTGAAAGTTGAAGTGCTTCGTCCAAGTTCTGCTTGGTTGGTTGGTAAGTACAAACATATAAATTGTATTTAAGAAAAACCTTACCTTCGTGAGTTTTKAAAACTATCATAGGCATTGTGTACAAGTGTTTTTGTCTTTTATCGTGGTTAGGTCTACTTCTTGTGGTCCTCATGATCCCATAAACCGTAATTTTGACGTAAAATGCTATCGTTATATCGTTTGACAGTAATAATTTCGTGTGGGTAATGCTAATTTGCCGATTGCCTTCAAAACTCGAATTTCACGGTATCATTATGTTTTTATGTATTGAATGTTTACCTTAAAGTTGTCTTTCAAGAACTCGCTATTACTTATTAATGCTTTTCTTTATAAAAAAAGCATAATTTCTCGTGGAAAATAGACTTAATAATCAGTTAACATCAAGTTTATTGGATTTAGAGAGCTTGTTCGGGATCTCTTCGTTCATGTCAGTAGTGTCACGTATGTTAATCCTTGTAGAGYWAAGACCATCAGATKTGCTCGCTCAGTGATCAAACTCCAATTAAAATTATTACTTTTAAGATTTTTCTCAGTTTGACAGAAGTTTTTAATACCGTGTTGATTTTCTTGGCCTTAAAAGGATAGAACTTTGTCAGGGATTAAAGATGATAGYATACAGTAGTTTTGAAGCCATTACTGAGCCGGGACAAACCTAATTGCTTTTCCGAAACAAACAAATAAGCGATGCTAAAATGAGCCGGAGGGTACTGCTAGAGGGGCTAATTTACAATATCATGTTTACTTTAAGCTTTCTATTCTTAAAACTTCGGCTCTTTTACGATAGCAGCACCACCGTCACTTAACCAATTAAACTTTAAACTTAGAAAGTATCAGATTTTTTTAGAGTTTTTAAGTTCATCAAATAAAGCCCTTCATCGGGCAAATATTTGTAAAACATAGATTAACATCTCGCGACAACAACAAGCTATTCATCTTGAGTTCAGTTTTATAAGTAAACAGCACTCACGAACTAAAGAAGTTGTGTTTTCAGTTCTAGAAACTTCTAGTACGAAGAGTTATCGTCGTAAATTCAAAAGTTGGCGTTCTTTTCGCGCCTTCTACATTAATAGTGAGCGCGTAACTATGACAACACCGCCACTCAAACGTTTAAACTGATATATCGGCCTCGGGTTTTGTTGATGACCATTTTTGCGGGCTGGAAACCATTTAAGCGAGCGCAAGGGTCCCCATCGTAATTGTGTGGACTAAGTGTTGTAGTCAGATTCATACAAATTAAAACAAAAGAACTAGAAAGCAGAAGCACTAACTACATTRAACAGYACAAAACSCAATCTAATAAAGTTTAAAAGCCCTTAAACGCTAGTAGCTCTTTTATTAGCATTTAAACGTACATTATCTTGCTGCTTAATTCGCGGCCGTAGAACCACAGTCAGATGTAATTAGCAACAAGYCCTGCTGTGARCCCSCTATGAGATCTATTTCTTTCAACATTTATCGGTCGGTCGGATCTTCTATAATTGGTCACGGTTTGAGGCTRGAATGCCGCAAGGAGTCGAACTAAAAATAAAATAATGATGTTTTTGATKAGATAAAAAGCTGTTGATTTATTACTTGAGAATGTGTTGAATATTCATTATAATAAGTATTTTTGGAGGCTGCGTCTGTCAGTTATTCATAATGATTATAAATTTTAGTATGACCACCAGCGCAACCTTCAATGCTCACTAGAGTATATTCAGTACCCAACTATCATGAACGATATTCAATTCCGACAACAACAAAAACCGCAAAGTTTCTCTTTTTTTTTGCGATGTATTTTACAACTATTGATTTATCTATTCATCGACATTGTCTAGCAGTATCGAAGTGTCTGTCTGCGAGTATTATCTGTCTCTGACACGTTTTTTCTTAGTTATATTTTCATCATTTATCGATTCATTATAACATAGATTCGTACATACACGCGCTCTGATTGGTCCTCGACCGTGCATTATTTCGCGGTTAAAGTACGATTTCGAAGTAAGAGAATATAAAGTAAAATTCTTGTACTTACAGTCCTCTCAACACTAGCTAGTGTTTTACGTAATCGGCATCAAAACGGCTAAAATTACTCAGTCCATGCTACAACGATCTTTTCCAGTGCAAGCCGCGTTTTTAATATTAAAACCGTTTTCGGTATGTTTAGCTCTGGACGAATGTCTAAACAACCATCTTAACAATGGTTGACGTCTCGTAGTTTACACGGAGTTTGAACGCGGCGGAAAGATCCAGGGACGAAGCGACAACATTTTGACCAAAAGAAAAGCAAAACGCCGACTATGTTTATTCATATTTGCTATATTTCCATTAAAAACCAATAACTGRTCTGTCACCGGGATATCGGCTCGTATCCAGTGCCGAGTGTCCGAAAGAAAAACAACAAACAAAGACATATATGGCGCCTAGACTTATTCTCAGATTTTAGCTTAAAAATGAGAATGAAATTTTGTATTTTCTTRTTAAAAAATCCTTTGTGGATGGATATTGTAGTTATTCAGGTCTATTCACCTCAATCTCGTAAAGAGATTTCATGCGAAATTTTTTTAAGTTGTTCAACATAATTCGCCGCTGGACAGGGTTTTTTTAGGCCCTCGAGTCTTATCCAAACACATTGTTTTAATTAAGTTGCTTACTCATTACCAGAAAACGGAGTACTCTACAGTTACCGTCTCAAGCTTTCAACTTAAAAATCAGRCAGAATATGAGGCTTGACGAGTTTTAATGGCTTTTGAAATTAAATATCGATATTTACCTCCATGAGTCAAGCTCCTCGCAAGAATCAGAGCAACTTAAAGGTTAGCGAAAACATCGTTTGCTATTGGTTTTTGTTACACATTTGACGGAGAAAATATAAAAGAAATTCGCATATAGGCGACTATTTTAGCAACGTTTGTGGCAATCCGCCATTAAAGTTATATATTCCCGACTTAGCTAACTGCCCGCMTTTTGCGMCTTTCCTATTAGAGATTTCGACTAATTTTGTAACAATCACATCAATTGTTTCAGTGTTAAAACCTTAAAAGCTCTAAAGATCCTTGATATCTACTTATTCTCAGTTATTTAGATAGATAATCTGCGGTATAAATTAACAATATGACGGGAAAAATTAAACTTTAAAGTTGTTATTGTTAAGTTTGCTACAAATTTCCACTAGTTATTATCTTGTACAAATGTCACTACTAAAAAAACTCAAAATGTTCATTAGAAAAAAGTAAATCAGTTCGATTTTTATCACAKTCTTTATGAATTTTAATAGCTATTTACTTATTTTATTCAACATAAGCAAAATTAAAGTTTGGGATTTTATCAGGATGGCATAGCTTGTCATATTCCGCTAGTTAYGTTTGATTATCTGACTACAATCACATCAATGGTTTATAAATATCAATGTTATATAAAAAAAACAATGTTTTGTCTTGATTTCGCTTCGGAAGAGCTATTGTTATTGTTCCTTTTTATTCGGATTAGAACTACGAAAGTAAACTTTTCTTCAACTGTCATATTTGATTTGATTTCAACAAAAGGGAAAAACCGAATAGATGAAAATTGTTTGCAAAAATAAAGCGCATTCATAATTAAAGCAGTTCTAATATAACTCAAGAGTCTAGAACTTAAAGCTAATAATACAACAGGAAAGAACTACTAACTGACATCGTTCAGTGCGTATTACTAAAAAGATTGAATATTCATTCTCCAAACTGATGAGATATCACTATGTCAATATAAGGAAATGGTTTGGTTTTCAAGTCTGAAACTGCTTGATTAACTTAAGTTTACAAGCGCAAGGCTTTCCTGACAAAGTGAAGAACATAAATTGATTGTAAAGGGAAGGTTAGACCGCTAATATTATTAATGAAGAATACAACAAAAATGAACACTTCAAGAAAACATTGAATATTTCATACCCCGCTCATCACTAAAAACAATGAACTATATTTACTTTCATAAATTTYTAGTTTTCTCATCTTTCAAAGCCGATATTTCATTCATGATACAAAAGAAATGATTTAAACTGTGTTTAGAATATAATTTTTRAGAAAAGAAAGTAATTCGAGTGTTAATTGATGAGAAAAGACAAAGAATAGTGGCAATAACATGTCAATTTTTTTAATCCCAGTTTTTATGACGGCTTATATACGATTTGTTAATACCGAATTTTTTTTTATATTCAGTATATTAAAAGCTGGAAATCAGTATTAATTGTTTGACATAGTCTATCGTGAAAAAAATAATAAAAGAAAAYTCGATATTCATTTTATTTTGATAGATGTCAACGCCTTTCTGAAAAGTTTATAAGTCAGTCTTGTGTCACTTCTGAAGTCTTTTTTTCCATGGAAATTTGTCAGTGTTTGATATTATCAGTTTATCACGATCGTGTTTGATCCGAGGTAAGCCATTCTGTGATTTTCGTTCTAATTTTCCGGTAAAATAGAGGTAAAGTKCGAAAATGTTTCACAAATTAGTGAGATTGTACTTCCTAAAATTGTAAGATGTCTKCAAACAAAGCCAATATATGGTGTTAATGAAGCAAGGTTATCATTTTAATTGTTTTTTTAAACAGGATTTGAGCTTTAAATCTTCAAATATTTTAATCAATGTAGAATATATTTTGCGATTTTTTGTGTGTGTTAACATATATTGTCATTCATGTCATTTCTTTTTTAGATTGAGTCAATGACACTTATTTGTATTGCTTTCCTTGGATCGATATTTGTTCTTTTATTCCTTTGTACTCTGCTATCTATTTGATATTTTACAGTACTCCCACTAAGTCCATGAACATTAATTAGTGTAAAATATTACTAATTACTAGCGCTCTAGTAAAATTTCTACTAAACAAATGTTTCAGTGTTAYTAATACTTCTTGGACAACCTTAGCCTAGCCAGATAGTTCCAGTCCACTTAGAGAGCTCTATGACGTCTATTGATCATATGAACAATGCTTCTGGACGGCCGCCACTAAACRTAATTTGCGTTCACGACGAGTTGATACCTCGAGGATTAATACTGTTAAAATGACGCTGTTGCGCGGATATGTCGTTCTAAACCTATAAATCATTTTTTACGTTCATGAGGCTGATTTTTCTTATTTTCAATTCGTGCGTATTGACTTGGTAGACAAGTTTGAAGTGGTTTTACCACTCCAACGCTTCTATTTACATTACCGCGTCGTTGTATTTATGTTCCAGCTTAGTAACAACTTAATACATGCAAACTTGAAGCAAAGGTCATTGAAATTTATTTTCCTCTGTCTGTTTTCATAGTCACAAGATCTTAAAGGCACAATAACAATGTGTGGCTAATCGCAGTAAGATCAATACAATGGATTTCAAGCTGGTAGCTTTCGTCTTGGCTTGCTTTGTTTCTACATGCTCAGCTGTTATTAATCTCAACATGGGCATCTTACTTCCTCGAATAGAGCCCGAACCAAACTTAGCCGAGGGCCTAATTATAGCAACCGAGCTAGCAATCAAGAGAATACGAAACGAAGGAATTTTAAACAGTAGTTTTGTAATGAACTACACGGAGATGGACACGGATTGTAATAGACTTAAAGCTGTAAATCACGTCTACAACTACCGYAACATGAATGCATTTATTGGTCCTGCTTGTTCAGAAGCTTGCGTATCGTCTGGATTACTAGCTGCGACATTAAACACCCCAATGATCTCGTACGCATGCTCATCACTAGAACTAAGTGTACGTGCAAATTATCCCACATTCGCCCGTACGCAGCCATATACGCGTACATATACTGAATTAACACCGCACATGATCCTTGAGATGTTGAAGTTTTATAAATGGTCAAGGGTGTGTATTATTGCGACGGAAGATGACGTATGGTCGCCATTAGCAACTGTCATGAGGAAGGTATTTACTGGTGCTAATCTAACAGTACCTTATACTGGTTTATATACCGCTAACTCCAAGTCGAATTATGAGAGTGTATTGAAACCTGTCAAAGAAACCTGCAGAAGTAAGTAATACTGCATTTCATAGTTATCATCGCCATCTTGGAAAGGTAGCCGCGTCTCAATCAAATTAAGATTATTGTTAAGATTGTAGTGAGTGATACATTGTTTCACGCCATTGTTTCACGCCATTGTTTCACGCCTATCTATTGATGCAAAGTCTTCCAATGTCACGCTTTTATCTGGCAAAGGCTCGTCTACCCTTCAAGATGGCGATGTAATTGTATAAAATTGACTGTGCTGCTGGGCACATTTTACATGATGGGATAACCTTTTATATGCTCGTAAAGCCCAAATAAAGGAGAAAGCAGCGGCATGTAATAGGGAGGCTTGAGGAGACAATGTGAGTCCTCATCGCGCATGCTCGTATGTGTTTCCTTATCCTGTACCACATGGTATATCACTAACGTTCGTTTTTTTCAATTGATGCAGTTGTCATATTTCTGGCGTACAGCGAGGAGGTGGCCAGTCTGCTATGGACAGCAAACAAGCTGGGCATGCGTAATAGTGAATATGCATTCATAACWCTAGAYTTTAACATAGAAGAACGATATGTGAACGGCTCGTGGCCTTACGTACCRAAAGAGGAATTATTTGCCACGTTTGACGGTATTCTGGACATGGCGATCGGTAAGCCAGACAGTTCGAAGTACACTGAGACSGTWAAAGAACTGGAAACTATCATAAAGAGTAAAGGTTTGAGGATCATTAACCAGGTAATTCCTGGAATTGGTATTGTTTTGTCAGGCTCTCTTCTATTACTGACTMCATGTTCCTATCCTCCCGATGCAGCAACACAATCACGACCATGTCTGTTTCAGAACTGACTGTCCTTCAGTCGTCCCCCTCTGTCTGTACGTCTTCCTGTCAATCTGTCAGCCTCTTATGCATATTTTTCCATATCATTCCTTTGTCAACCATCATTTTTCTTTATCAAGTGATTTATCTACGTTGTGTGTATATTTCAACAGACCCTTATATTTGGTACGTATATTATCGACGCCATAACACTCTATGCTTACGGTGTCAATAAAACAATCGAAAAAGGAGGGAACTACACAGATGGACGAGCTGTCATCAACTCTGTGTCAATCAACGAAAGACTGTTTGAAGGTGAGATACATAATTGCAGTTTTGAATCAATTTAGTTACCTAAAGATCATCATTATCGTTATCATTATCATAATCATTTTTATTACTGGTCTGTTGAAGGTGCAACAGGAGTCGTCGGTATCTTCACCAATGGTAACAGAGTGCCCATCTTTGTATTTACAAACAGAAAATCAAACATCATGGTCCCTCACATTAAGTTTAACCTTCTAAAGAAACCCGGAGAAGCAGGATACTTTACTGTGATCAATGGATCTCAGGTGGTTTATCCGGGGGGAGGCACGAAGAGACCTTTAGACGTACCAATATGTGGGTTTGATGGGAAAAAGTGCCCTCCTCCTGATGATTGTAAGTATTGAATCAATATGTACCAAAAAACGCTAATCGTTGCCTTTGTACATCGTTCACACACCTCCCCTACCCTACCCCTGCGGAAAATGTCCGGAGACGTCGTTTCCTTCCCAAATTTCCCCGCATAGGGGGGGATGGGAATGGATGTAAGCCGGGCAAGTCTATGATTTGTATGATTGAAACTTTCTTTGTTTACAGCTTTGAGTGATTGGTATTTCTTGCTGCTGCTTATACCGCTGTTCCTGATAATACTTTGTGTAGCTTTKGTCTTTTATTACAGGTAAATCAATAGAAATGGTAAATGAATGAATGGATGGATGAGAATTTGCATTGATCATTAATGAATGGATGAACAAATAAATGGATGAAAAAATGTATTGATACTGAGAAATGAATGGATAAACAAATAAATGGATGAAATCAGAAGCAGCCTAATGAGAAATACTATGTTTTTTTTTTCAGGAGAAAAGCCTTTGAGAGAGATCTCCTTGATTCCAGATGGTTGATTGATTACCGAGACTTGACTTTTGTTTCGGCAGATGCTCGATACTCCACGGTAAACTAAATATTAGATAAGAAAATAAGATTCGGAACGGAAGTTAATTAAAAACTGAATCATCATTAGAAAATAACCATGTAAAAGTCTTTTTAGTCGAGATGCTAATAGCTTTTATTCCTTATTTGTAAAGGCACGAAGTCGAATTTCCATCGCCAGTTCTATGGGATTTTCACATCAAATGCTAAACTCCATAAACATTGGACGATTAAGGGTATGTAAACCCTAAGAACCTATATCACTCAATATCGGGGCAACTATGCGGTAGGATTTAACGCTACTTTCACAATGTTTAGGGTGAACTTGTAGTRGTCAAGAAACTAAGAAAAGATCAAGTCAATTTGACACGAGAAATGCTCATCGACATGAAAAAGGTAAATAGAGGCAATAAAAAAGCTCCCAAACTTAAACATAAGTAGCTCCATAATGTATGTTGGATTATCTTTTGATAGGTTCGCGACTTGCACCACGCTAATCTCCTGCCTTACCTCGGGGTTTGCGTCGAGTCGCCAAACATTTGCATCATCTCAATGTTCTGTAATAGAGGCACCTTGCAGGATATCCTAGGCAACGATGACATCAAGCTGGAATGGATGTTTCGTCAGTCATTTGCAAACGACATCGTCACTGTAAGTTACTTGAGTTGATGATGATGACTTGATTATGATGGCGATGACATCGCTGTCCATCGCTGATGGTATTGTGATCATAATGCTCACATGTCAATGATTCTCTAATGAGACTTATTATCTCCTGGTTGCCATGACAGGGTATGGAGGCTTTACATAGTAGTGCAGTTCATGTCCATGGMAACCTCAAATCAACAAACTGCTTGATTGACAGTCGGTGGGCGTGTCGTATCGGTGGTTATGGTCTTGAAATTCTTCGTGAAAATCAACTTGAAAAGGACATCGGTGAACATGCCAAATATCGTGGTATGTTTGAGCACTATTATTACTAAATGAATTTAACTGTGTGAATTTAATAGCGAGCTGATTGGCTGATTAGATTGTGTCAGTATATAAGAGTACACTGTCCTGACATCATASCRTCGCACGCTCAGTTCAAAGAAAAGAAGCTAGGATTTTCATTAWTTTTTAGACTAGAAAATTGTTAAAAAAACAAATTGCGTATGGTTTTGCGTTGTGTATCCTCTTATTGACACACCGTCTTGACATTAAATCTCCAAAACTTTGCAGTRAACTACTTGAGTTTTTGACATTTTATAACGTCAAAGTAAGTGTGTAAATAAGAGGWCAAAACAGTGCTCAATTWATTGASTAAATGAATGGATGAATGAAATATGAAATTGGATGAAACTTCTCTTGTAGATATGATGTGGACAGCACCAGAGCATCTGGATCACCAAAGTAAAAGAAAAGTCTCTACTTCA